GCTAGCCAAAGAATTGACCCAAAAGATGACAAGATGGTTTTAGTCCCGTCATCTCATCAGCATTCAGGAACCCCTTAGGGGATGAAGGGGAGAGGATAAAGAAGGATAAAAGATGAAAGCTGAGCTGTGGAAAGAAAAATGTTTTTAATTACACTGAGGAGGATTGTGGGTCCACCTGTAGCTTTTGTTAAAAACGTCCTTTGTTTTCTCCTGTCTGCAGGGATCATGGCAGGATACAGACCCAGAATCTGTCTGGCCTCTTGGAAGATTCTGTGTTGGTAGCCGGTCCTCTTCAGTTTAACGGATACATTCAGGATTTAATCTCCCTGTGGGCTATCTTTACTCTAATAGATTCTGTTGTGCCCGCCGAGCAACCTGGATTTGGTTGGCATGCTGAAGGAGATTGCTTTTAGAGAGAGAGAGAAATACCCTGCAGTGAAGCAGGAGTTGAGCTTTCCATAGTGAGTCACTCTCCCATTCCTTATCAGAAGGGCACGGGGAGGTCATCTCAGGCAGTGGGGTCAAGGGAGGCCAGAGCCCCACATGGGAGTCAGGGGACCCTTAAGCTCCATATGCCTCAGTTTCTTCACTTGTAAAATGGGAGTTACAGTTGCATCTTACTACCCTATGATGGCAGATGAATTAATTGAATGAAAATCCTGAGGAAAATACTGAACTATGAAAGTCACTTCTTGAAGGAAAGCAGTACATCCACGCTATTCTCTTTCCAGGTTATGAACAAAGTTAAACACCCTGGAGTAATTGGAACAATTTAAGTTCATTTGATGTAACTTATACCACAGTAGTCCAGTAATAACAGGTATTGGTTTTGGAGAATACATTGTTTCAACTTTGCCCCTCTCCCTTTTTTTATCGTTGGTAGAATTCAATTCTAAACCTCCTCAAAGTCTTGATTTTCATAGGAATTATGTGCAATTCTAAATGCAAGTATCTTCAGAACTCTAATTTTTTATTGTAAAGTAATGAGACGGGGTGTGGCTTATGGTACTTTGTCAAGAATTTCACAGCATTTGTTAACATGGGTTTGAAAAGAAATGGGAGGAGGGGATCATCAGTCTGTGTGTATTACTGAGAGAAACAGTGTTGCATAGAGGTTGAACCTTAGGCTCTGGAGTTAGAATACTACTGGGTTTGGGTGCCAGCTCTACTAGTCACTAGCTTTGTAACTTACTAGCTTTGTAACTTTGAGCAATTTATTGAACCTTTAGTGTCTGCTTCCAGGAGGGAAAAACGGAGATGTGTACCTTACAGGGTTCTTTGAAAGTTTAAATTGATATATGCTTGTGAAGTGCTTAGAACAGAGCCCTGTACATAGGGCTCGACAAAGGTTGGCTATTTTTTTTTTAAAGATTTTTAAAATTTATTATTTGTTAGAGAGCAAGCACAAACAGGGGAAGCAGTAGGCAGAGGGAGAAGCAGGCTCCCCGCGGAGCAGGGAGCCCGATGCGGGGCTCGATCCCAGGACCCTGGGATCACGACCTGAGCCGACAGCAGACGCTTAACCGACGGAGCCACCCAGGTGTCCCGGCTATCATTTTTTTAAAATAAGGCAAGATGGGGTATCACTAAGTGAGTTACTTGTCGCTGCATAAGAAAACACCCCAAACTCGGTGGCATAAACAACAATTTCTTCATGCTTGCAGTTGCTGTGGGTCAGGCACAGCAGGGATGGCTTATCTCCATTCTATGATGTCTGGGGCTTCATCGGGGAGACTATCTGGAGACTTCTTGACTCCTATTCAGAACCTGGGCTGAGATGACTTGAAGGCTTGAGCAGCTGGAGTTGCCAACCAAGCACTTAACTGTGGCTTTTCCACGTGTCTTGGACTTCGTTCAGCGTGGTAGCTGAGAGCATTCCGAGAGAGAGCTGTGGAAACGGCATGGCCCTTTATGACCTAGACTCAGAACTTACATAGTGTCAGTTTCTCTGTACTTGACTGGTAGAAGCCATCATAACCCTAACCAGATTCAAGGAGTGGGTGTGGCGAGGGAACATACACCCCACTTGTCAGAGGCAGGGGGTGTTAAAAAAAATTGCTGCAAATTTTTATAAAACTACTGGGATTGTGGCTCTATATTGGGACACGTTAGGGTTTCTGACTTCTACCTATAGTAAAGCAAGCCATATCGCCTCTGTTGCAACTACTTAACTCTATCACACTGGAATAAAAGCAGCCATAAACAATTAGGTAAACAAATGACTTGTTTCATTAAAAATTTATGAGCACTGAAACGTGAATTTCCTACAGTTATTACTGTCACAAAATGCCTTTTTAAAAAAGACATTTAAAAATGTAAGAATCAGGGGCGCCTGGGTGGCTCAGTTGGTTAAGCATCGGCCTTCTGCTCCGGTCATGATCCCAGGGTCCTAGGATCGAGTCCCACATCGGGCTCCCTGCTCAGCGGGGAGTCTGCTTCTCTCTCTGCACACCCCCTCCCCCTGCTCATGCTTGTGCCCTCCCTCTCTCTCTCTCAAATAGATAAAATCTTTTCTTAAAAAAATGTAGGATTCATTCTTAGCTCATACAAAAATGGACAGTGAGCCAAATTAGAATATCATGATTAACTAGATCTGACTTTGTTTTAAGTTAGAATTCTCCAAATGTGTAAAAGAAATACTGGGTATTTCTCAAATGTTTTTGTGTGTGTGTTTATACATATGTGAGAGAAAGACAAATGATTGCAAATTCCATTTTAATTTTGGAAGTGAGTTTGTGAAGATGTTATTTAGAATTTTAGTTCTTTCAAATACACCTTATCTTTATACTGTTAGAGAACATTTCTTCCCAAGGGCAAGGAAGGGCTATACTCTTGATATTACAGGTGGAAAATTAATGATATTTACTACTTCAGAACCTAGAGAGAAAAGGTAGAACTTGCTCTTCTTGATGGAGTTTCCAGATACATGTTGTTGTTGTTGTTGTTGTTGTTGTTTTTAATAAGTGTCTCAAGTTTTTAAAGAGGTTGTTGATCCTTAGACCAAAAGATAAGGTTGAGGACTCTGGGATGAGGGTTTCTTTTTCATCTTTATTAGTTCATTAAATATTTTTTATCTGCCTGCAATGCCGGGCAGGTCCTGAAGATGTAGAGATGAACAAAAACATACGTAGTACCTGCCCTTACAGGGCATCCAGTCGAGTGGGGTAACCAGACATTAAACAGATAACAGCATTGAAGTGTAGTGTGTGTTATGGGGAGGGAATGCAGGATACTACAAGAATATAGGTTTTTAAGCTGGACTCTGTCTCTCATCCTCTACTAATCCATTGAATGTAAGAGTCCAGGAAAAAAAGGATTGTTATATTAGTGCAAACTTCTGTTTTAAAAAACAGCCAATTTATTGAGCACATATTTATTTAGCATTCTGGCCTCCACCTACCAGATGTCAGTGGCACTTTTTACTACATTCTAACAACCAAAATTGTCTCCAAAATCTGCCAAATGTCTGCTGGTGGGGGTGGAGGTGGTGGGAAAATCACCAGTGGTTTAAATTCGGATGGGAAATTAAACTGTGTCTATACATTTTATCGTGAAGACCTCAGTGAGAAAAACGTAAAATTTTTTTAAATAATAAATTCGAGCTCAGAGATTAGAATCTGTTAATTTAAAGGACACACAGGGGCATCTGGGTGCCTCAATTGGTTAGGTGTCTGCCTTCGGCTCGGGTCATGATCTCAGGGTCCTGGGATCGAGCCCTGCATCAGGCTCTCTGCTCAGCAGGAGTCTCTCTCTCTCTCTCTCTCCCCCCCCCCCCCAAATAAACAAAATCTTTTTTAAAAATAAAGGACACACAATTCCTCCTCTGAAAATGCTAAAACAGATTTGGACAATGCTCTATCAAATGAAATGTTACTCTGATACACTTGTTATGTCCAGAAATTTTTCTAAACTTTATAGTTTGTGCATTGTTTAGCAAGGCTGAGAACCACCGTTATGTAAGTGAAACCCTGAAAGCTCCCAAACATCAATGGAACAAAATCAGAGTTTGGAATTGGCTTGAAAATAACAAATGAAGATATCCTGCTTTGGCTCCATGTCCTCAGCCTGTAAGCTATTGGATCGTGTGAGTTGCATGACCCAAAGGAGATGATTAGTTCTCCTCTAGTGTGCTGATAATGAATAGCTCTACAAAACCAATTAGCTATAATTCTATCAGTCATTTCATTTGGGTAACATTTTGTTTAAGGGTAAGAAAAACAACACTGTTTTCCTTGGAGATCTCTAATTAAGCTGTGATATTTGATGACAACAATGAGGAAAAAGCAGTATGCTTATCCATTTGCTTTTGTTATTCCCCCATGAAAGTAAATTATGAAGAAGTGTTCTGTTCACAGCAGTTAAGAAAGACATTTATCCATCTTAAAGGTGTAACAGAGTAAACATGAATATATTTTTAACTGTATATTTTGTTTTATGTGGATGTCTACGTTGTACAGCTCCAGAGATTTGCCATTCACATGGAGGACTGTGAATGGTGCCCCCCTGGAGTTGTGTAGCAGAAGATACTGTATGTCCTTTCCCTTCTTCACATATTTTTCTCTTGAAAGTCTGTGTGAATCCAGAACCATGACTAGCGGGTTGTTTTCTTATAATCACTGTTGTTGCTGTGTAAGTCCTAATGCTGTCATGCTGACAATAGTTATCAGTAGACTTTGTTTTCCTTTGGCAAGGCATTTTATGGATCACTATTGTTCTATATGAGTTCATACACATGAGAAGTTCTTAGTGTATCGTTAGCTATTTTAAGACAGCAGATAACTGTTTGACTGTCGTCTGACTATCCTTCTGGGACTGCTGGACATTTTGCAGTTTTTATCTCAATTTACACCATGGAATGAGACTTAGGTATATATTGTTGGTTTTACCTGAAGTATAATACATGCAGCCTGTAATATAAATTAATGAGCTCATTAGAAAAAAAACACCGTGGGTTATTGTGGTGGGCTTTTGATTCATTTTGCTTACTGTTTGTCTCGCAGCTAGCCAAAAAAATCCGAGAGAAGTTCAACCGTTACTTGGATGTGGTCAATCGGAACAAGCAAGTTGTGGAAGCCTCCTATACGGCTCACCTAACCTCTCCCCTCACTGCAATTCAAGACTGCTGTACTATCCCGCCTTCCATGATGGAGTAAGACTTTAAAAATATTTTTGTCTTGTGGAAACCCGGAATTGAATTGCTTTCCATTCATATTCGAATCCCTGTGCATGTTTATTGCAAAGTGTATAGTATTTCAATCTTAAATAAGCTCTTTGTCTTTACATGGACAAGTAATTTTTAAAGAAGCGGGACTCAACATTCTATGTCCCGGAAATTCCTAGGCCCTTCCTGCTCACCTTTTTGCCATGTTGGAATTCAGGTTCAGAAGTATCAAATATTAGCTGAGTACAAAGTTGAATTAAGCTAAAAAAATTGCAAACATTTTGTCAGGTGTCAACTAGTGGGTCATGAATAAAACAGCCTCACTGATTCTGGCAATTTGCCTAATTTAAGGGAGTGCCTTTTGTCTTTGAAAAGAGTAGCAAAAATTCCCACTTCATACTTTGGGACTTTTAAAGATAGCATCTATACTAATGGGAAATATGGCTTCAGATAATATTGCAACAGATTTAGTTGCAACAGTTAGGGATATTTTTATTTATTAGCCTAGTGATAGTTATATCTGGAGGGGTGTAGGGTCATGTGATGCCGGAAATTGTTTGTAGTGGAAAGAACACTTACCTAGAGGTACAAAGAACTGAATTTTTACTTAGTCTTTAACTAGCTGGGTGACCTTAATTAATTATGTGCAGTTTTATATCGGTGGATAATAATCTTTATTAGACCAATTTTCTAGGGCTATTGTGAGTGATTAAAAGCTGTTAACATCCTTTAAAAATTATAAATGTTATCATAATTAGTATGTATTACTCCCCTTTTTGCACAGTAAGTGCTCTTAAAGGCATGGAAGGGATAGATACAACATAGTTTTTGGTGGTTAAATGTTTTGCTTCCAGAAGCAAATTTTTTTTTTTTTTTTACTTACTATGGTTTCTTGGTGGGCTATGTAAATAGCAGGGCATCCTTAAGTCATTTTATTCTCTATGTGACATGAAGATGAGCTTTTTTTCCCTGGCTTACTCTGCAGCCTAACAAGCTCCTACTAGTTGTTTACTAAACTAAGTGGGAAAATGTATACAATGTAGAATGAGCCTGTCTGGATAGGAATCCTCCCTAACACTCAGATGGTCTTGGATATTTGCTGTCTTAGCTACCCTGTCTTCGTCTCTAGAATGGGAACGATGATGAATACTTCACAGAGTGTTGTGAGTGTTCAATGAGACCAAATGTGAAAAATACTTGGTAATTTTCTGAACAACTGTTAACCCTTGTGTATACATACATGCACACACACACTTCCATATCATAGTGAACATCTCATTTTTTACTAAAAATGTAATCAAAGAAGATGTCCTTTTTTTGTAGTTGGGGCATCAGTAATTGAATATTTTTGACAACTTATTTCTTATCTAAAAAGACAACGAGGGCCCAGTTGGGTTTTGAACCAAAGAAAAAAATCATTTTCAGAACAAGAAGAGCTAGTATATAGTAAGAGAGAAATCCTTAAAGCTAGAATTATGCTTAAAACAGTGGTTCTCGACCCAGGAGTGATTTCCATCCCTCACCTTAGCCCCCTTTCCCCTTGGACGTTTGGCAATGTCACAATTGGAAGGTGGGGAACAGTTGTTACTGGCATCTAGTGAGGAGAGGGCAGGGATGCTGCTCATGTCCTGGAATGCACAGGACAGACCCCCCCAAACAAAGAATTATCTGGTTCACAATGTCAGTAGTGCAGAGGGTGAAAAACCCTGCCTCAAAAGATAGGAGGTTTAAATAAATTCCTAAGTGGAACTGTTGCTCTACTCGAAACAACAAGCTTGAATTGACTGGTCTCTACTTGGAAATCTATCCTGTATGTGTTCATCCCATTACTGGTCCACCTTGTGAATTTCTATTAATGTTTCAAGAAGTAACTCAACAATTTGCCTCTCTCCATAGCTTCCTAATTCCTCTTTTCTCTCTCTCTCTCTCTCTCTCCCCCCACCCCCCCTTATTTCCCTTTGCCCCTGGAGGGATTCACTTGCTCCCTTATCTCTGTTCCCATAGTAAGTTTCAAACACCTCTATTACAGTGTAGAACATAATGTATCATGGGTTGTTGATGGTGATTCTGCCTCCCCTACTGTTCTGGGCAGGGATTACACCTCATGCATTTTTACCCCAGCACCTGGCAATTGTATTTAATTACTACTTGTCAAAATCCGAGTTGAGTAAGGGGATGTCTAGTCTCAACAAATTAAAACTTTGGGGGTGGAGGGCAAATACTGACATAATTAATAGCACAAAATGTAACACAGAGAGGTACTGTGGTTCCTCAATGCAGAGAAATGTACCAGGTGGATGGCAGCACAAAAGATTCTGTGAACTTTAGAAATGTGCATGTTATTTGATCGGCTCATTTGGGGGAATGTCATAAGAAAATAATAAGATATGTTTATAAAGAGAAGCTTGTAAAGAAAGTCATGGGAGTATGATTTAGAATAGAAAATGTTGTCAATACCTTAAATTTCTAATAATAGGGGATTAGTCAAGGAGATTGTTATCACATCCACAAACATGAGATGGTAAAAGAGTATTTGCTCACTGGTGAAAATGGCCATGCATACATACATACATGCACACATTAAAAGTTTGGGAGGACTTATATCAAAATGTTTTGGGGTAAAGACCGTGATTTCCATTTTGAATTTGCTGAGATATAAGGGTTGAGTTCTGAGATGCAGGCCATGCAGATGGTTGGCAAAATTCAGTGGTCCACCTTTTGGTGAAAAAATAAAACAAAGTGTAGTGTCTGCCCTGCGGGAATTTCTCATTTAGTTTGGTTTACCATCCCAGGGACTTCTGTTCTCCTAGGAGGATACACACTGAGTAAGCAGGTTAATAGGAGGCCCTTCCCTCCTTCAGAGGTTGGTATTGAATGTTGCATGGGGACGCTGGAGAGATGCAGTGCAATCTTATCTCCTCACTAGGAGTCATTGACAGAACTAGCTTCCATTTGGGGTGAAGCTCGTAAAACCAGGGCGGTTCAGACAATGAAGCTGGGTAATCAGAAGATTTATAGAGGAGTGAAAAACAGGTTCCCTCTGGTGGCATATTAAAGAGATAACTGATAGAAACTGTTCACAGTGGGGAGTGGCAAGGGATGACTATCCTTCACTTAAGGTCTTCCTGGTTCTGACTGAGCTCACTTATCCAGGGACATGTGTTTAGGAGTTTTTGGAGTAACTCCGAGCTGATGCTTTTTCTAGCAATTAGCTGAACACACACACTATCTAAAATGATGAGACTCTCTCTTTTTTTTTTTTTAAGATTTTTTTATTTATTTCAGAGAGAGAATGAGAGAGAGAGAGCACATGAGACAGGGGAGGGTCAGAGGGAGAAGAAGGCTCCCCACTGAGCAGGGAGCCCGATGCGGGACTTGATCCCGGGACTCCAGGATCATGACCTGAGCCGAAGGCAGTTGCTCAACCAACTGAGCCACCGGGTGCCCTCACTTTTTTTTTTTTTTTTTTTAAGATTTTATGTATTTATTTGACAGCACACAAGCATGGGGGAGCGGCAGGTAGAGGGAGAGGGAGAAGCAGGCTCCCCATTGAGCAGGGACCCCGACGCGGGGCTCAATCCTGGAATCATGACCTGAGCTGAAGCCAGATGCTTAACCGACTGAGCCACCCAAGCGCCTCTCTCTCTCACCTTCTTAATGAAGATTCAACAATGGAAACAGTTAATAGTAAGTTTTTGGGGTGAGCCAGGATGGGAATCCTTCGCTGCCTTTATTCTAGTCCCTCATACAACACTTTTCTCAACACTTGCTGTTTTGGTATCTTACTGAACACATTTTCAGTATATATATTCCATTCCCTCCAAAAATGTCTACATTTTGAATCTCAGGGAGTTCATGTTGGAGTTAAACACAGAAAGGAAGAACTCCCAGTCTTGGGAAGCAATTTGAGGACATAACTAAGAACAATTTTTTTTTAACAGTAGGCAGATTTGGTTTTGAATCTAGCCTCTTTCATAAGTTGACCTTGGGGAGTCACTTAATTCTGAGCCTCAATCTCATCGGTGAGCTGAGAATAAGGATAATACATACCTCACAGGGTCACCATAGGGAGCTGTCTTTAGGTTGTAACTTCTTTATTTCATAAGTGTGGATATTATCCTCCAGGTCAAGAGATACACTTTTTTTCTCTGCTTTAAAAGTGAACTCACTTAAATGAAAATATTAAGTGAATGTGACCAAAACCTTGAAGGTGATAGATAGGGTAGTGATGAAAGTTCATGAAAAATGGACTCAAGAGTATTGCTAAAGTTCTTAAAAATTGTGAGATTTTACAGTTCTATAAAGCAGACTCTTGGTGCCCGTGTCGTATATCTGGCTACATGCAAATGTATTCATACTGCCATTATAAGAAATATAAGCAATTGAGATAAGGGACCTCCAGTCTTAGATCTGGATCTTGTCCGTTCTTAAACATCTGGGCTCTATAAACATGTTTTGACACCTAGCACTGGCCCAGTGGTGCTCAAGCTGTTTGTTACTTATATTTTAAGTGCCTGCCTGTGGCCTGTTTGACCTGGCTGCTTCTCCAAAGGCATCAAAGATGAGTTAGTACTAGGACAATATTTTCACAACTGATTTTAACCAATAGCCAATATTCAATTTTTATTTCAAGTCTAGAATTTCATTGTTACTGATTTATAATCCATTTATTTTTCTCACAAAGGCTTGATAATGCTTGTTTTAATAAAATGCCCAGTTCAGAAGAGAGAAGGGCTTTAAATGTCCTATTAGAGATTCTGAAAGTTTATACCATGATGACAGCAGAGAGAACCTGCAAAACAACAGAGAATTGATTTTTCAGATGATTTTGATACTTTTCTTCCTAGACCACTCAACTCTTTCCTACTCAGGGAGTCCTACAAGTTAATTATTTTGTACAAGGCCCTGCGTGAAGATTAGGCGCTTTGTCAATGTTTGCTGAAGGAATGACCTCCTCTAAAATGGAAAAAAAAATTAGATGATGGCTT